ATCATGTTCTCTCACTTTTTATAACTGACGAAAACTCTTCGAGCCACCCTCGCGCTTGCCAGCTCATTAACATTTCAATAAATTGTTGTAAATCTTATTGCGAAAAGGCGTGGCAATAGTGTTTGCCTATCATTAGTAACGGCTCAGGGCAGAAGGTGCAACAACTGTGACGCGGTCAGCGAAAAATGCAACGCTCCATCGCATCACAAGTGAGAGGGAAAGATAGAAAGAGAGAGAGAGAGAGGAGCCAACCTATCTATATAAAAGTCAACATAGCTGCATGTGTTTTTGTTTTTGGTACACAACCTTAACGAGTCGCTTGTAAATGAGGTCGACACGAAACTTGTTGCCCTGTTATGACTTCTTCTCGCAAACATGACGTCAAATCGAATTGGCAGTCATATTATACATACATACATATATACATACATATATATAGATGTGGATAAGAATTCCAAAAAAATTGTGTGCACCCATGACCAAAGTCTGAGACCACATTGTCTGCCTGACAGCCCCAGCGAGCAATAAGTTTCAAATGGAGCCGACATCGACGACGTCGTCCATGTCAACGCAAAGAGCGATGAGCTGTGCTCCAAGTGGAAGGGGAGCGTGGCAGCTAAGCAACGGGGAGAGCGATGGTGCAGCCAAAGGAGAGCCTCCGCCGATTGAGAGGACAGAGCTGCGAGAGGCGCTATCTAGTGCATTGCCATCATTGTCGTGGCAAAACGTTTCGATTTCAACGAATATCATTCAAGTATTTCAGCGTGCACTGAAAGAAAAATCAGTGAAGTGTGCTTAAGCAAATTTAATGCTACAGCGCATTTGAGGAGCGATATGAATGTGAAAAGGTTAAAAAATGCTTATATATGAGCAATATTTAATTTAAAAAAAAAATCGAGAGCAAAAGGCCTTAGATGTCATAGCCAAAAAAAAAAAAAAATAAATAAATAAATAAAATAAAAAAACACGCTAGTTTATAATTTTAATTATGAGCTAGATTTATAAAAATAAATAAATAAATAAAAAATCAAATATTAAGACTTAATAAGGCTTAATAAACGTCAAATACTTTAAATAAAAAATTTGGTAACACAAGTAATTATATTTATGTATTTAATTTATATATATATATGTTTTATATATATATAGGGCTTTATATTAACTACAGTTTTTTCCCATTTCTTATTGTCAATATAAGACTTTATTTTTGTGATATTTATTGTATATTATATTATATATATATTTTATATTCATATTGCTGTATTTTGTCTTTTCAAATTTTTAAAATAGTTTTTATATATATTTATTATTCTCACAAACTTGATTTTATTTTTATTTATTTTTTTTTCCAATAAAAATAGTTTATAAGCCAATTTATCTTTTATTATTTATTTTTTATATATTTTCTTTCTGTTGGTTGAAACATTCATTAAAAGTATTTTTTTTTAATATTTAAGTAGCTAAGAATCTAGACGTTTCGTCTAACTAAATTACTTTGTATATACATATATATTCCAAAAGATTTCAATAAAAACTCAGCTAATTCCAAAGTTATGTAATATTATTCTAACTTGATTTGAAGTCGTTTTTAAATTATTGCAAAAACTTTATATTGGCAACTGTTTACAATTAAGCTCGAATACCCTCAACCAAAAACTGCAGCCACTTAAAATGTTGCAGCCGCAGACACCGTAAAAGCACTTGAAGAAAAAAATAAAACAGAAAAGTATCAAATAGAGAAATGAGAATTCTTTTCCTTTTTTATTGTTAAACCAATAAATTATTTAACATGTATAAATCACAGAGGCACGAAACTTGCGCTGAAAACATGTTAAAGCCATTCAAAGATTTATTTCGAGAAGCGGCTCGAGAGGCTGCAGCGAGTGAAGGGCGTGAGCTGCCGGATCAGGAAGAGCAGGAGGAGCAGGAGCCAAGGCACAAGCGTTGAGAGAAAGCACGCAATAAAATGAATGAATGAATGAGGGAAATACGAAGAAGAAAAAATGCAATGCAAGAAAGGCAAGAAAGGAGTAGGCAAACTTTTGTGGCTGTTGGCATTTTTTTTTTTTTTATTTTAATTTTTCACTCGTTTCACAGATTTTCCAAATGCCGAGTGCCGCTTGCCAGTCGCATTCGAGTAGATGTGTGTCAGGCTAGAGCTCGAGCCGAGCTTGAATTGTGGGAAACAGCAGGTAGACGCACTAGCAGGAATCACCAACCCATTAACCTGCAACACACACACACACACACACGCACACATACACACACAGCATATTCACCACTTGGCAACCCCAAACAACTTGCGCTAAACTTTGACAACGTGAGACGAAGCACGTTATTACTTAACTATATATAAGCATACATACATATACATATGCATACCCTGCAATTGCGATTGCTTGAAGGCGGATTGACTATACATATAATATGTACTTGTGGTATACCCAAAATTGATCTTTAATCAATATTTGTACAGAAAAATATGATAAATAAAATATAGATTTCCATTAGTTAAATATTGAATGGAAAAATGACCTAGAATGCTTCAAATATTCCAAAAAACAGCTCAAACACAAATATATAAATTCTTTAATAAATCAAAATATAAAAAATAGTAATGTATAATAAAATACGTTTTTGTGTATGCATTTTTCGATTAATTTATTAAGCTCTTTTTCTTTATATATATTTAAATTTTTTTGTTGACCAAATAGAAGATCTCTGAACTATTTATTTATAATTTTCCCAAATAAAAAGAAATCAATAAGTTGTTTGAGTTGAGAAAAATATAATATTTAGAACGTATTCATTCGTAAAGCCTTGATATTTGTATGGCACAAAATCTTGTTTATGAAAAGGGATTTATTTTTATGAGTGAATAAATGGATATTTTATTTTTTCTATGGAAATGGGAATATGTCGAAAAATATGCGAATTTCAGTGAAAATTAAAATAAAATATATTATATTCATTTACTCCATATCAGAATTTCTAACAGGGCATACACCCGTCGAGCAGTCTCACCAGCAAAGCAATTTCACTTAGAACTGTCTACTGATTCGCCCCGCAGTGGGGCTGGAGTTGGCTCGAGCTGGAGCTAAAGCTGAAGCTGCTGCTCTTTGATTTCGTGGCAGCTTTTAAGTGTTTAACTTCCTCATCTGGCGCTGAGCGTGGCAGAAGGCACAACTTTATGCTGCCTCATAATTCACGGCCCTTTCCCGAATCCAATTTAAGGACTCGCTCGCTGTCTCTAGTTCGGGATCGGCCTGTGTCTGCCTGGTGAGCAGTTGCATTAACCTCGCGAAACTTATTTAAGTGGGATTGGGAATTTCTTTTACTTGTTTTTACTTTCTTTTATTTTTGATAGAGTCCCTCGAAGACACAATCAAATGATTACCTCAAATACGAAATGGGGCAGTAGTGCGCCAAATAATCATTAGAAGAGCGCATTAAATGCTTTTTAAATGAAGTCACAAATGAGACGATAATCCGCCATGAGGCAATTATTCTCTAATGTGTTCTTAAAAAGCTGCTGGACGCAATGGACGATGCTCTAATGGCTATTATAATGGAGTTCTGCTTGAGCAGCAAAAATATTTGGAACTAAAGGAGGTGCTAATGGTCAAATGGGAGAAATATATATATACGTATAATTAAGTAATTCTTGTACATTTATAAAAGAAACTTAGCTGATTCCAATACATAAATATATATATATTTTTTTTTTTTTAAATTTCATAATATAAAGTTATGTAAATATAACAAAAAATCAAATTATAATTTTAAAGCTATGAACGTTAATATTTGTATTTCAAATATTCTACTCAAAATTAATTTTTTTGGTATCTTGAAAATCAACTAAAATCGCCTAAAACTAAACCTTATATTTAAGGGTTTTTCAAACGCACTTCCGAAAAGTGTTTCTGCCTAAAAGGTGCCATAAAATTGTTGCTTTTAGCACATATTAAAAAACAGAGAGGGAGAGGAAGAGTGTGAGAGTGAGAAAGAACGATATAGTTACAACAGTCTTTGACTATCCTACAACCATCTTGAATCCCTTGGAAACATCTAAAAGCTTTACACACGCACTTAAAGCTCTTTACGATTCTTACGTTTGTTTATTTTCAACTTTTTTTTTAGCTGAGAAAACAAACGCTTTTGGTGGACCCCAATAAACACATAAATATAACAGCTACTTGAGACCAATCGAAGTCGTCATAAAGTGTGAGTACTGTATGTAGCGGCCTCTCACTTCACTCCCCCACACACCGCGCACATCAGCTCTTCCTTTCTCTGCCTGTCATACTTACAGCTTAATAACGGCGGCTAATCTGAGAGGCATACATTTACGCACGCACACATACACACGCAAGCACACACGCACACGCACGAATATTGTCAGAATTCTTTATAGAAATATTCGCGCACAATGGGCGCATTATATCGCTCGTCTGCGTCGACTTTTTAAGTAAATTATAAAATATTTAAGTATTTTAAAGGCGAATTTCATTGAAATTGCGCCAAATAGAGGTATGAGAAATGCAAAATAAATATTTAACAACTGCGTAATACTCTGTTGTGCACAGACAAATGATGGAATTGTGGAGGTAACTTGAAAACAGTAAACAAAAAAAATTAAATAATAATAAATATTATAATAATAAATACTTAAGCTTTACTATCATAATCCACAGGGTAAAAAAAGGATTAATTAATATAATAAAACATACAAAGATAATATTTAATAATAGTTAATTGAATAAATACATTTTTTTAATATAAAAAAGGAAAGTAGAATTTTAAGTGATTTATATAAATTAAACATATTTTGTTTAATATCAAAATAAATAAAACTGATAAAAAGTAATAGCTACTATTAGGAATTTTAGGCAGTTTGAAAAATTAAAAGTAAGATTATGAATTCAATAGTTCAGTCAAATGTATATGTCTATATATATCAGACTTAAAACTATGCCCCACTCAGTGCATATACCTCTCTTCACTTTCAGTACAGTGCTTGGCATAAGTGTATGCAAAAGTCAACGACTGCCAGACAGACGGCCGGACGGTCACACTGGCAGACATGCCCAGACAAGGACTGGCCGCCAGGAAGTTGAAGGAAGCGCACACAATGTGGGAATGTCATTTTGCTACAGAATGTCACAGCCTTTCCATCTCTCTTTCTCTCGCAGCTTTATTTCTTTAGCAGATATGTATGTATGTATGTATGTGTATAAAGGCCTGACTCTTGTCCCAGCTTTCTCTCTCCCACTCTATCCTGCTGTTGGCAGCTGTCATTGCGTCTTGCTATCTGCTCTTCATCTTCATCTTTTCTCATTGTGCAAAGTGCACGGCACAGCGTATAGCATTTGCAACGGTAAAAGCGAATATCGTTCACATTCAATTGGAACTGATTGCAAAGCAGCTGCCTGCGGTTGTTCATTAAGGTTTAAGCTAAGCTAAGGATTGAATATGTTGAGTGGTTATGTTGCTTAAACTAAAATTTATGTACAGAAAATTCAAGTCTAAGTTGTTTGAATGAAAAAATCCAGCTCTGCTCGCTTCAGCGAAATGCAATTCAAAAAAATTCCCCCTTAAGCTCTGCTACGTAAATATACAAATATGTATCTTATTGTATTCCACATGCAATGCGAAATTCTCTCACGCATATTTACACACATGCACAAATACATGAAGCTATTGCGTGAATTCCTTTGCTCATTTAACGCTTGTTATTCAACACATACACACTCTCTCTCTCTCTCTTGCTCTGTATTCCTCCTCCCACACAGTTACACTAGAGAGGAACGTGTCAAGACCCGTTCAAATAGAATTAAAATGCAGCTATTAAATAAAAATCTCAGCAGTGACCACAGAGCTCTTAACTTAAAATTAATTACAATTAAGCAAAGAAAATGGCACACACCAAAATACACAAAAAAAAAAAAAAGTGAAGAGAGTGGAAACAAAAGAGCAAAAATAAAAAACAACAAAAACAGGCCAAAAGCCGGGCAACTTACAACAGTCACGAGTTGAAAGACTAACACGCTAAGCGCTTCGCATTAAATCCAAAAGAGCGTCTCAGTCGCTGTCGCTGTCGCAGTCGCAGTCGGAGCACAAAATTTAACACTAACTGCGCTGCCGGCGGCAATGGCGTCTGCTGTTGTTGCTGCTGCTAATCCACTTTTACTGTTCTTCCGCTCACTCCTACATGCACACACTCACACAAATAAACACAAACACACACTTGCACGAGCACACTTGCACGCTCTCATGTATGCAAGCGTAAAGGTAGCGACGGCGACGCTGCAATTTTTTTTTCCGTTTTATTTATTTTTTTTTTCTTTTTGGTGCTGCGCTTTTGTTGTTTGTGGTTTTTTGCTGCTGTTGTTGTTGTTGCGGCTGCTGCTCTGCCGCTGCTTGGCGCTTTTCGCACTGATTGTTACACACTAAAATCGAATTAAACTTGCGCGCTGTGCAGTTGTTGCGATTGTTGTTGTTGCTTTATTTTTGCCGCACTTTCCGCCAACTTTCGCTCTAACTTTTACTTTGTTTGCCGCGCAGGACACGTTGGCCAACAACAACAAAATAACGGAGTAAAAGCAGAGCGTAGAAAACTTTTAAAAACGTGCAATTTTCGGCTGAACGTTGTTGTTATTGTTGTTACTCCTCCTCTGTTCTGCTGTTTCTCTTCTTTTTTTTGCTAGCTGCAGCGAAGCGAACGCGTAAAAGGGATTTTCTAATAAGAAACGCGACAAAAGTTGAGCGTTGCGATCAACGGTGCAAGCGTTGCCGGACTTAACGGTTTCTAGCCCATTTCTCTCCGTGCTGTGTATTTAATACAATTATTTTTTGTATTGTTTTCTCCAAAACTTTTTCTTTTAGTCTGTAAAATATTATGCAGCTAATAAATCACACAAAAATGAAAATTTGCAGTTTGTTTTACACGCTTGAAAATTTGTAATTTATCTAAAATTAAAAATTCACTTTATTATTTTATTTTTCGTAATTACAGTTTAATTGGACTTGCTTGCACGAAATATTCTGCTAGGCTAATTAGACCAATAAAAAGGTTTAAATGTTGCTGAGAGTCTCTGTTCTCTTTTG